TAAAATAATATTATTATAATATTATAAATGCAAAACTATTGCATCAAATGTTTAAATCTTAGATTCTTTTTAGTTCATCTTTTATTATTGGATCAATTTTAGTCCTTGTTTGTTCCCTATTTTTTCAAAGGAAAATGATTTAAGTACAGAGAATTTTTATTAGAATTGGACTAGATTTTTGAATTCCAACTCACATGTAGTGGACCCTAGTATAAAATATTGAAAAAAAAAAAAATTTCTCCCAAATGTTGTGTGTAGTTTATAGGTACAGGAATTTGAATTCATATACCTATAGGCTATAGCAAAGTCCTTTTTCAAAATATATTTTTCTCTCTTTTTTTTAACCACACATTTTTTAATAAAATAATATTACACGCATCTCAAAAACTTTTCCTTCATCTTTAATCACACGTTCTTCATCAATCTACTATTCCAAAATGTATTTTACATAAAAATGAGTCAAAATTAATAATTAATTTTAACCACATGTTTTATGGAATCCACAATTTTTCAATCACATATTCATTAGTTTTTATCAAAATCTGCTAAAAATTCTCACCAAACAAGGGTTGAAATGACTTTAAATGAAAGGATAAAAAATGAACTTTAAAAAAAATAATTTAATTGTCTCAATTAAAGAAAAGGTAAGAAAGCAAATGTAATCACATAAATAATAATATAAAACGACAAAATAAGAAATTTATGTTAAATGGTGGGGGTTTTCGAACTTTCTGAAAAGAGAGAGAGCGTCTCTGTGATGTCATAAACTTTAGGGGAGGATTTTGAAATTTGCTCTAAATTTTGCCATTAATTTATTAAATACTTTTTTTGGATAAGGTAATTAATTTATTAATTACGTTTTCCTAATATGCATTCATTAGTATTAAGAATTGAAGTAAAATTTTGAAATTCCATATCAATCACAGTAAAGGTCTCAAAGTCTTCAACTCCAAATAAAGATGATGAATTATAGTTCCTGAAAATTTCAATTTCTTTTTATTTATTTTTGTATTGGAGCTGAATTGAATATTGTTTGAGTTGGGTTTAATGCACTGATATTCTTTTTGTGTGCTTGTGTAGAGCATATTATTTTTTCTTATTTGTTTATTGAGGAAGTTAGGCCACTTCTTGCAATTAAATAAAAAAGTTATAAAAAAAAAAAAAAACAGGTTATAGGTAATTTCTAATTGAAACATATGATCATCATACATGAATACATCTAGAGCTTGTGTACTATATAAAATATCTTTAGCCGTTGTTTTGTGAGGATTAAAATTATATTTTTAGTAGATTTTGATAAAAATAGCCTTAGTAGTAATAATATATGTTGACCCGGAAAAATGGCTCGAACACGTGACCAACAGAATAAGTCTTCATGTCAGCTTTTTCCTGAGCACAATAGCATACCGTTAGTCGCTCGTGTTCAACTAATCAGGAAGTTATGTTTGATGGCGAGGTGGTCACCGGAATGTTTGAGTATATGTTGAAAGTTATGATGTAAAGCTAGCTAAATTCGGATACCTCACTCTTACCAGTATGAGGGTATTTATACTAGGAAATGGAAGAGGTTGATCGTCGGATGAAGGGGCACGTGTTTTCAGATCCCGTATGAGTCATCATCTCATTGGTGTCAATCCATAAGTTGGCGGACATTAAATGGTTTCTAACATGTCAGCTAAATTGATCGTTTGTGACCTGTCACACGTCCCATCAATCAGTCAGGGATTTGACTTTGGAGATCTTCTAAAAGACTTTGGCGAGGGCGTAGAGAGGAGGATTACGAAGTGCGGAGTGCGGGCCTTTGCATTGTCGTGATGGGCGGATGAGTTCTTTTCTTCTACGAGAAGGGGCAATAGTGTTTCAGTTTGGAGTTGTGGAATCAGTTCGTCCTACATGCATTCAGTTCGTCTTCCATGCGACAATGCCAGATCTGTTCGGAGTTACGGAATCAATTCGTCCTTCATACATTCAGTTCGTCTGCTACGTGACAATGCCAGATTAGTTCAGACAACACGTGGCCGATGAGGTTGGTGAATGAGGTGGAGGGTTTCAGTAGACCTGTAACAGTATACATAATGTAATTTTCTATTATTAACAATGAATCGTCGACACGACGATATCGAGTGCAATTAATCAGGTCACAAATATGAATGTGAGAACAATTTATAGCTTGTGTGCTATATAAAATCTATTTAATAGTATGAAAATTTGTCATTATAAAATAACGAGTTTATAAATACTTGTTGATCACGATGACCCGACTTTTTTATGATGACACCTAATCATCATCACATAGAAGACAACAATTGAATACAATTAATCTATCACAAAACATGAATATGATAACACTTCTACAAAGGAGGTACTAGAATCATTGGATTGAATCAGAACTAAAAATGTTTGGTTCGATTTACTTCTACTCAAGTTCTAATAGATTTTGAGCATTAAAATTGAGAACTAGTTGATTTGGTTATGTTCTCGATTCTAATATTAAGAACCAAAAAACTCGTTTTAACAAAAAAATTATTTTTTATATTTGGGGCAATGCGCCAACCATTTTTTTTCCTTATGGATTTTACAGTAGTACGTCAAACTCAAATTCAATTTACAATTGTATTATTTATAAACTCATACACCAAGTTAACATTTTTGATTAACAAGAGGCCTGAATTCCTTTCATCCTTTCTAAAATAACATTTTCAACCCTCGAAGTTTAAAGAATATAGAAATGATGTTGGAACATATTTTTTTGGCTACTTGTACGTCAAAATTGTATACAAGAGATTACATAATATGACGTAGAGGAAAAAAAATTGCATAAAAAAGTTGAATGTGCCACACGTACGTAAATGTTTATCTAAGAGATTACATAATATCACATAACATTATGGGAAGATTACATATTCAAGAGTATAAGTTTAGTCTATTTCAAAAATAAGAACACAAGTTTAAAGTTACCAAAATCAGATTTTTTTTAAATTTTTACTTATGAAATAATAAATTATTAAATTAATTTATTATTAAATATTTAATTATAATATAATATAATTAACCCATCCTACATTCACCACCCCTACCGCTCCGGCGACCGTTCCGATCACCGCCCTACTTCGGCGAACTTTCCGACGACCGTTCCGACGACTACTTCGATTCCGGCGACTATTCCGGCGTCGATTTTCCCGGTGACTGCTCCGCTATATTTTTTTGTACGGTTAACATGTTTTTTTTACAGTCACAACCCAGGTCACAAGTCACATGTCATAAGTCACAGCTCACAAGTCATAAGTCAAGAGTCACAGCCCAGGTCACAAATCAAGTTACAGGCCAGGTCACAAGTCAAAAATCAAGTCACAGGCCAGGTAACAAGTCACAACGCATCATGATTGTTTGTTGAATCAAATATTTTCAAATTTATTAGTCACATGTTAATTTTTAATCACAAATTGTCCAATTTTTAAGATCACGGTTAATCTAAATAGTTGGTCACATACACCACAACGATCGCCACGGCACAACACTGTCGACCGCCACCTGTATCACCAGTCTGGATGTTAGAATATACCCTCAGCAGCTAAAGACTCAGTCTCTGTATTCACCTCTCCCGCATTGCCCAATCGAGGAAGGAAAGCATCAATCCCTTTCAGAACAGCATGGTCACATTGCACGTCTGCCAAATGTGCAGGACTGTGTGCATATTTTGACACATCTTCCATGGCCTTTCTTCTTTCCTCCACTCTCTAAACTTTTTTTCCTTTAATAAATTCAAATAAATTTCAACAAAATCACCGCCACCGCCAGCAACCGCCATCGCCGACAACTACCACTACAAAACTCACCTCCACCGCCGGATCTACTATCGCCATTAGACCTACCACCATCGCCAACAACCACACAAATCATTCACGGCCAGATCGTAGCCACTGCAGATCGCCACCAGATTCATCAACATCGCCAGATCCACCGCAAAACCACCTCACCACCGCCGGTGCTGTTGTAAACCACGACACCCAACCACTGCAGGAGTTGCCAGAGCTGTCGGAGCCGCCTCGTGATTGTCAGAGGTGATGGATTGGTACAAAGAGAGAGAATGGAAAGACAATGGGTTGGAAGAGAGAGATGCGAGAGATTTAGAGAGAGAAAGTTGGAAGGAAATTGATTAGGTTTGAGATGAAAATTGTATATTTAATATTTAAAATTTAATTGTGAAATTTTTAACTTTCCACCTAATTTTAGAATTGAGGATTTTAAAAGTAGGGTATTGTGTAATTTCTACTAACATTATATCATTTACCAGTTCAAAATATAATCAACATTTTCTTTCAATATTTTCCCACCATGTCATTTTATGTAATTGCTTATGTAACATTTTTGTGTACAAGTAGTATAATTCTTTTAATGAATAGATTGTAGAGAATTTAGATATTAAACAACTATAACTTAAGAACGTATATAGTTAGACACTTGTTTTGCATCTGCCAATGAATTTGAGACTTGAACACATGGAACTGGTTATGGTTTGATTCCCAATTAGAGATGTAACCAACGATTCAATTTTCAAAATACTCATTGGTACTCGATTCGATTCTCTTCAAGTCGAGCCAAGCCGAACCACTATCACTCGTACACATCTATAGGTTGTGTGCTATGTAAAATTTCTTTAGTAATACTAGAACACACACATGAAATTGTCAATTTTAATGAGGACAAGTTTATAAATACTTGCTTGTCACGATGACTAGAGTTTTCTATAACTAATCTTTGTTTTGGAGAATTATTTGAAGGGAAAATTAATTTTTTTTTGTGTGTGTGAATGTGTTGTTAAAAAGTTAATATGTTTGCACGCAAAATTATTTTATTGGAAGAAACTAATTTTCAAATAAACTTTGTCATACAAATGCAAATTGTCGTCACGCACACGAACAAAAAACATTTTTTACATAAATGTTTTTAACAATATTTCTTTTAAATGGAACATAATTAGGTTTAATAAAGGCAGCTACTATTTTAATTTTTCATCAACCATTCTTATATAGTTATCCACTCTTTTTTTGAAAAAAAATAAATTAAATTATTTTTTTAATCTTACGTAAATTTACTTAAATAAATAATAATAGAATCTATCATTCTAAATTCATCCACTAACGTTTATCTTCATTTAATACTTTTGAACCTCTTATATTATTTTTAAAATTTACGTGTAACTTATAGACATAGTTCAAATATTTATTTCAGAGAACCAGTTTTCTCAAGATCTTTTCGTCCCCAAGATGAAAGCTGTGAAGCAATGATGAGACCTTTAAAACGAACAGATAATACAAATTCATGACATTAAAGCACATATAAACGATAAAATCTGTTGTAATATCAATACAAAATACATTAACGATGTAGGAAAAGAAAAATACTTTATCTCATCTTCATATACTATAATTTCTGTTGGAAAATAATTAGTTACAGTAACTTGTATAATAGTAAAATGCAGAAAGTAAAACTTATTATTTGATAGAGTCATGTGACAATACGAGATTCTACAGTGAAATTGCTCGTCGTTCATTACTGCGATTTCTTTGAATAATCACTAACAGAGTACAACGATTGAATCATTTGTATACCAATTACAAAACATTTCAGAACTCTCAAGTGAACACTTAAAAAAATGAATAAAAAAATAATATCAAGTATTGCATGGGCTGTAAATCGAATCTCTAACCTCCTGCGCAAATTCTACACTCTTCACCAAGTGAGCACTTTATCTAATTTGATCATTCTTTTCAAATAATAAATATATTTATCATATATAAATATCTAACATTTTCTTATGAAAGATTTCCCATCTTGAGAAGGCAACGCATTTGTTTTCATATAGATAATCTGTTTTAAAATAATACCAACTTAGATAACTAAGCTCTGAGATTGTCTCATATAGCAAATAACCTGATTTCGCTTTCCTTTCGCTTTATTCACGATTTTGTCTATTATGATATTACTTTCTTTCTTTTTTCTGGCTTTGAAATGGGATAAATATATCAAATTGGTGTGTATATCCAGTGTTTAAATGAAGGGAAAAATTCATTTTTCCTACTTTATCTTTACCTTATTTCAAAAATAACAAAACAACTTTCACATTTCAAAAATCAGATATTTTAACTTATACATACACACATATATATATAACCCATCCCCACCTCCACCTCCACCACCCCATCCCCATCGCTCCGGCGACTGTTCCGTTGACCGTTCCGATTCCCGCGACTGCTCCGGCTATTGTTCCGGCGACTACAACGATTCTGGTGACCGTTCCGACGACTACTCCGATTCCGACAACTCAGGTCACAAGTCACAGCCCAAATCACAACTCAGATCACAGTCCAATTCACAAGTCACAGTCCATCACAACTCAAGTCACAAGTCACAGTCTAGGTCACAAATCATGATTTTGTTCATAGTCACGAGTTATTTTCAAATGATCACAGCACATGTTACAAAATATTTTTGCACTTGGCTCATATTAATATTTAGTCACAAATTGTCGAATTTTAATGTCAGAGTTAATCCATTATGCAGTCACAATTAGTCCACTATGCGGTCCAAGTTCCTGATACACCAAATAAAAATCACTCCAACAACCAATAAAACCAACAAAATAGAGGAGAAGCCATGATTTTAACATTCTCCACTAACATCTGCTTCTGTTAATACAATGCTGTCGGAGCAGTAGAAGCATCAAATACAAAGTTCTCAAACTGTTAGCAGTGTCAATCGGACAAGCAACACCAACAACTCACGAGCGCCGTCAACATAAACGCCATCGCCAAAAAATGCAAATACAACAAACGAAAACCACCCCCAAAAACTTCATCGCCACCAGATTGAACGCCTACCGCAGGTCGCGTAGCAGCATCGCCACACCACACCGCTACCTAGATCCACTGCACCAAACTTACCATCACTGGAGTCGATCTCGTGTCGTTCGCAGCAGCGTCGGCCGAAAGAGCTCAGCAGAGAAGAAGCGGCCTCACCCTTCGCCGTAACGCTACTGCAAGTAAGGGCAGCGTCATCAAAAATCGCATTTGAGCTTGCGAAGGGCCGATTCGGCAAAGAGCTGGCGGCGATGGGAGCTCCAAACGGTTCACATGCTACCTTCTTCTGCGTGCAGAGACGCATCGCCCATTTCGATGAATTCGGGCTGGCCGAAGTGTTGACCAATTCGAAGGCGATGAGAGATGGAGGGGAAAATGGGGGGGGGGAGCGTGGAGAAAGTGACGGTAATTAGGGTTTGGTGGGATGAAATTAATTACTAAAATATTAATATTTAATTAAATATAAAAAAATCTGTATTTATTTATAAAATATCTGACTTTTGAAAAAAAAAATATGAAATCTGATTTTAGAATTTGAATCTTCAAAAGTAGGGAATTGTGTAATTTTCACTTAAATGAATGAATTTTAACCCCTTTTAGGCTCCATTTTTTCAAAATTCAGTTTCAGCTATGCATTATCCCATAAAACGATGCTCCATATAGATTTAAAATCTTTCTTGTTTTTTAAGCATACATTTTCCAGAAATCAGTATTCGATAACATATTTTTTTTCCTCAAGATTTCATTTTAATGATGCCCAAAAAGGGTTTATAACTCCATGTTATTCTCCCTAGAATGTATTTCAAGCCATGTCCTAAAATGCGGGCAAATGCGCCACCTAGGCGCGACGCGCAGAGAAAACGTTTCGAATTCGGGAAATGCGTTTTTGTTCTAAAAGGCGGTGCATTATGCCGCCTAATTTTTTTTTTTTTTTGGTAAATTTTTTTTTTATATAAAAATATATTTAATGCTTTAAAAATAAGAAACACATTATGACGCTTATTCTTCGCATTGACACGTCTAAACTTGTGATTCTTGATTCTCGACCTCGACGCTTCGCTACGCATTACGCATTTTAGAACACTGTAATTTTTTTTTTTTTGGTAAATTTTTTTTTTATATAAAAATATATTTAATGCCTTAAAAATACGAAACGCATTATGGCGCTTATTCTTCGCATTGACACGCCTAAACTTGTGATTCTTGATTCTCGGCCTCGACGCATCGCAACACATTACGCATTTTAGAACATTGAATTTTTAAGTAGTGTTTTGATGGAAAATATATTGTTAAAAAATAAGGAAAAATTTCGGATTTACTTGTAATATTATTTTATTGAAAAATATGTGGTAAAAAAATAAGAGAAAGAAAAATATATTTTAGAAGAATGGGTGTCAAACATGCTGCAAGCATAATATTTGAATGTAACGTCGATGAATATAGTATTTTTAAAATTTTAATACGAATAAATTTAGGTGGGACATGTATATAAGAATGGTGATAACAAAGGTAAGAAAAAAGAGAAGTAGACTGCATACAGCATCCGATCCACCTTTCTCTCTCTCTTCTGAAATTTCTACGCAAATTGCCGGGTTGGAAGCTGGTGCGGACATCGGTGGGAGGCTCGGATACTTGCTTTGGGGTTTCTACTTTTCAAGCGACAGGCTCGGCACACTCAGGTAAAAGTCTGTATAGCCGTTAAACCCTCTTCCGTTTCTCCTTCACTTCACATGGATAATCAGTGCATAATTCGAAATGGGTTTACTGTAGGGCAGTGAAGTGAATGGGGAGTAGGGTTCCGGTGGAGCACTATGATTTGAGGACGGCGGCCAATTCATATATTGGCAGCTCATTGAATGATCTCAATGTCGACGATGACGTGGACAGAGAATCCGATGAGGTCGCAGTTGAAAGCTTAAGTAACGACGCATCATCCGCTGTTGTTAGTGTGAGTTTGACGCCTTAATGTGTTGCAAAATTAAAACTATGAAATAAGGATAGATTATTGTGGTGAAATTTGAAAAGGGCTAACTTTTAAAATAAGAGAGTAAAATATATTATTGATTACATAAACTTGAAATTTAAAATTAATAGCCTGTTTGAGCCCTATTTTTCGTGTAGAATACATTTTGGAAGGTAGATTGACGAAAAATGAGTGGTTAAAAAATAAGGAAAATTTTTGGGTTTATTTGTAATATTATTTATTGAAGAATGTATGGTCGAAAAGAAGAGGGAGAAAAATGTATTTTGGAAAAATGGGGATCAAATAAGGGCTCAATGTATATGATGTTTAGCGTGAATCGATCAGTGCTTGGATTTAAAATTTGTTGCCCTTGCTCAAGATTCTCAGCTCAAGAATTCTATCCTTTGCAGTCTAGTTTTTTGTTGAACATGACCATGATTGGTAGAAATTCTTTAAAAACCATTTTCGAAAATATGTTCTTACAATAATATAATTTTGCACGTGGATCCTAACTTTTCCATACGATTTAATCACATTCTCAAAACAATTACTTTTCGAAAAATCTATTCTAAAAAAAATCTCCATCAAACTTATATATAAATTGTCTTTTAATCCTCATTTTAGATTAAGCAAATTTTCTGGGAAGTAAATTTTCTACTGCTGTTAGTTTTGAGTTTCAAAATTTTGCATTTAACCATCATTATACAGAGAATTTTCCCAGTCAAGAAACCTCTCAACTTTTTCCTCAAAGTTACTTTGCTACTGGAGAGTTACTGCCCATTTCACTGTTCTTGGTCCCGGAACAATATTTAGGGCATGTTCGGTAGAGATTAAAATTGGATTAAAATTAAAAAACTAGTCCTTATTGTTGACTTTTATTAGACGAGTGAGACCCAATAACGACTATATTTTCAATTAAAATTGGATTTTAAGTTTAGCCAAACATGCTGTTAGTAATTGTTTTCAACCATAAAATATGCATTGTCAACTGGAGCTTTTGTTTTTATTAATTTTATCACTCTACATTAACAGCGTATTTTTATCTTTTAGGACTGCATGCACGAGTCTTACAGGAGCTCTTTACCACTTCACAACATACTGGTAGAGGAAGATCGAAGTAGTCTTGAAAACAATGGGTCCTCAAGTTGTCCTTACAATATACTGACTATCGACGGTAAATAATTTTATCACTTATTCAATCGAAAATTTATTTGACATAGAGATCAGTTTTAGATCATCTGTTATGTGTTTGACTTTCCTCCATGTCCAGATGTTTCGCCAATTGAATCAGCCAGAGCAAGATTTTTGGATATCATTGTAGATAATTTTATTGACACACATGTGATTGAAAGGTCCGAATATGAGGCAGATTACATGATGCAGCAATCCTCACAAGAAAAAGTAAGCAAGAGGAAATCCAGAGAGTTCAGATATGAAGGCGATGCACACTATGCTTTACCCTTGATGTATATCGCAAACATGTATGAAACCATGGTCAATGAAGTTAATATGAGGTTATCCTCCATGAATGGTATGCATGATAAAACTATTGGTGTGGCCCTTGAAGCAGCTGGTGGTTTGTATAGAAAGCTTGCAAAGAAATTTCCAAAGGAAGGTATCACTTTGATTCTTTCTCTATGTTAAGTTGTTAACCTTTGAGTAATCAAAGTTGTATTCTGGACACACCTAAATTTTTCAGTAAAAGAACTTATCTTGATATGTGCTGCATAATTCTTCACAATTTATAATGTATTTCTTGGATACCTTAGTCTTGCTTAAAGTCTTCTCAGTTTCTACTCTTTCAATCTTTTCTGAACCAATAGAGAAAAACATGAGAGGTAGAAGAAGGAAAAATAAAGAATCAAAGGAGTAGTCTTGAAGTAATATAGATATAGGTTTGAGAAGCTGGTTGGGGTTCACGGACATTAGTTTAATTTCTATTCATGTATTTCCCTTGTATGATTTTGTACTTTCAAGTCTCGATTGATCTCAAATTTTCTTTGCAATAAGAATAACATGCAACTAATTTTTCTGCTTGTAAAATTTTGACATTGATCCAATCATTGGCTTGTTTACTGTTGAGGTTGATATTGTCATGTAGGTACCTGTGCATTCAAAAGACGAGAACTGGCAACTTCTTTCGAAACAAGGTCAAAATTTCCTGAACTAGTGATACAAGAAGAGAAACGTGTTCGTTTTGTAGTGGTAAATGGTTTGACTATCACCGAAAAACCAACGAAAATTGGTGCTGATGATGCTGAGTGGTATGTCAGAGACTTACTTAATTAGAATTTCCTGTAGGACTTTTCTTTACTTGCAATACTTGGTCCTCGTAGTTTGTGGTTGTCGACAATTTACGCTTAATTATATTTCTTCATATGATATATCTGTCTTTTGTTAGCGAGTTATTGTGAAAATCAAATAGGCAATAAGAATCAAAGGAATTCTTAGCCTCACTTATAACCATTTTTTCCTCTGGTGCGTTTCTTACTTTAATGTGGTGAAGAACATGTCTAGTGAAATTTTAAAATAGAATGTTACTTCACTAGGCGATGCCTCCTGCTATAGATGGATCCCAATTATATCTTGCCCATACATACTAGAATATGCAGGCCGAGAACATAGACCATGAGGAGGCAGCTGGAAAATCGGACTGTAGAAAGATAGACTTGATTCGAGGTCCTTTATCATTAATGGCATATTCTGAAGCTATTGATATAGCAACATAGGTCACATCAATAGCTTGTATTTTTATTGTCCTCTATGTCTCTCCCCCAGGTGCTCCCCTCTACACCATTGTTTTGAACCTAAAGTTAAAAGAAAGAGACTCTTTTACCCTCCACCGTTGTCAAAGTATTGGACATGTAATCGATGCATAATGTATAGTAATAGCGTACTATGTTACTCACTGATGAATCCCTTCTTGCATTCCTGTTAGCCACTTTTTATTTTGTTCAAGGTATCATCTCTTAGTGTCCCGTATCATCTATAGTTTAATTGTAACTCATATTCTTCTCAGTTTAGGTTATTTTCCTTTCTCATTAAGTTTTATGAGAATGTTATCATCCATTGTTGATTAGCACCACCTGTTTGTAGGTTAATGGAGAGACCTACAAAAAGTTTTTGGGGAAAAAAAAAATTATCCTGAAAATACTCCACATTTATATTTTTCTCTAGGTTGACTTGAGAAGTTCAAATTTTAAGACATGGAATCAAGTCATTTCCCCATTTAGGGGAAAGTGAATCGGTTGATATGTTGGACATGCAAAATTAATTGAAGTTTATATGGGAAAAAATAGACCAGTTTGTCCGAAAAATGTTTCAATGTGGATGGAATAAGATTGTTATATAGGTTACAACCTGACCAATTCCCTTGCATCAAGACAACTTGAAGAAAGAAGCAAGATAAAGAAAAACTTGGAATTGTTGTTTGTTTTAATGAGGATGGCTCTGAAGAAAATCCTCTATGGATCATTTAAAAGTGTGCAAAACCTCTTTGCTTCAAGAATGCGAACACGAACAACATGAATTGTCAATATCATGCAACAAAAGATCGTGGATGTCTGGGGTGGTATTCAAAGAATACGTTCAATGGCTTGACAAAAGGTTACATGAGAGAGCACTTGCTATTTGTTGGTTATTAACAGCATCTTGAAAACATCAAAGTCCTCCTGGTTGTAGATAGTCGTCCAACCCATCTAAAAACTATTGAAGAAATACAAAATGTTGAGCTTCTTTTTTTATTTTTTGCCACTAAACATCAATGATCTAGAGCTTTTAAGATGCATTATAGTTGACGATTTTACTGTAATATTTTGAAGCTACGAAGTGGGGCAAAAAGTTCATAGAATTGGAGGAAATTCTCTTCTTGGACGAAATGGTCAAGGAATACTCGGATTTGAACCAGCGCAGACATATTGCCAACGAATTTACATTCAGTCCCCATTAACTGCTCGAGAGAGAGTTTTTTATTTGTCTATAATGATAGACAATCCCATCTATATTATAGAAAATATTCTATCGAATTCAACAAATACAGAAAAGAAATATGTTTTCTGCATTAACAGTCTTGCAATCTCAGTTTCGATAATAGATGTTCAGGCAAAACTGAGATTGTAAGATTGATTGAATCAATCCTATGCGCACATTTTAGCAAATTACTAATCAATGAAACAAGTGGAACCACACATTCTTACAAGGGAATTTCAGAAATTTATTCTTATTATTCAATAAAAATTATTAATTTGTAATTAGCCAAAGTCGGGACTGGGAAAATTTATTATATAAAAGAGATTGGTAATTTATCGAGTATTAAATTAGAGAGAAGATTGTATTGTAGTTTGCAATCATCTCCCAGCTCGTTCTAATTCTGAAACTTAAAAGGTTATTGCAAATTATGTATTTAAATTCAAGTTGACTGTAGATCCTTTTTAATCCTTTTATTATACCTCTTTTTTTTTCAATCAGGTTCAAAAGGTTGACAGGACGAAATGAAGTGGCTGTCTCTGCTGGAGACTACAAGTTTTATGCGCCAAGACACAAGTATAGGCGAGTGGGGTCAAACTCCATTTCCAACGTCAACAGTTTGCCAGTAAGCTTCAAAGAACTCTTTAGCTGTAGTGCTGATTGTTTAGTCACAACACGTGAAAGTTAAGCTCCTTCGATAAAAAATTCAGACATTTTTCTCCAGATGATTTTGCTCGTTTTGCTGTATATGTTCTATTGCTTTGTTTTGTTTGTGATGATAGAATGATATTTTTTTGGAATAATATGACAATTACATTTCCTGTATTCATGAGCTGAAATTGTAAGACGTGTGAAGTAGTTAACCTTAACCTAATTGCTAAGAGTTTGAAACAAGATGTCCAGATGTAATACTGTCAATGTGGCCTTCTGAGTTCATTTTCACTTATTGAACTTGTTGTTCTTGAGTTTTTCCAGTCAACTTAGTGAACCTTAACAAGTTTTTGTTTTCTTAGAGCTCTGTCAAGTTTTAGGTGCTCTAGTCAGTTTTGTCAATCTATGCTGTCATACTCTAGGGCACTTGAATGCCCAAGCAATATAATTTTTCATTAAAAAGACATGCAAAGTAGGCAACTTTAACCTAATTTGCAATGGCGGAGGCATTGGGGGGCTTGCCCTGCCCCCAGCTCATATGGAAAATTTAGAGACTACAGTGATTAAATTGTGTTAGCGCAACTCTAGTTTGAATTAGAACCCAAGTGTCCAATGCTCATTTATTCAATTTTTGTTAAAGAGACTACAATTATTAAATACTATTTTCATTATATTCACGAAACATGAATATCTTATTGTCAATTTAAACATTTTATTTAATGCATGTTTGACTAAATTTACTTATGATAATTAAGTAAATTTTATAATTGATAATAAAAATAAATTACTTATTTTAATAATACACATTTGACTAAATTTACTTATGATAATTAAGTAAATTTTATAATTGATAATAAAAATAAATTACTTATTTTAATAGTTAGAGACACAATATGTTTTGCTAAGCTTAAAAGTAATGAAATTTTTAATTCTACGTATGTTTTCATATATTACTTATTCATATTTATAAAAAAAAATTATTCGTTTCGATCATGAAAATAGATGTTATGATCAAAATAAATAACTTGCCTAAATTCTATCTTGTCAATAAAAGAATATTTGTTAAAGTTTATTTATTTATAAATTGATCTATATATAAATATATTTTTGAAATTGAGCCAGACATGGTTATGAATTAAATCTAATTTTCTTGGACCCTCATAATTCTTAATCGATTTTTCTCACCTTGGATGTGATTCTTCACTTATTATGAAATGAAGTGATATAGAAGAATGACGTCCACACCAAATAATATTTTGAGATAATAACATATTGAGGTATTATTAATATCGCGTCTCAGCCAAAACTTGCAATTGTTTGCCAAACTGATCGTCAAAGCTTTTTAGAATAGTAGTTATTAAAAAATTTCTTAGTTTTTTATTAGTGAATATGTATCATTTGCTTATTTCGATCATGATTTGGTCAATTTATATTTTTTAACCCATGCGTTGATTTTCTATTTGGAAAGAAAATATAAAAAGATCGAGTGGGATATCTTAGGATGAAACATCTAGACTACTTTTATTTCATTGAGTGTCGTACACTCTTTGTCATGAGTTTAGCCTCTTATGGTGTGAGTTCATTTGAAATTTTTTAAATTTCAGTCCATCCTAATGTTATTTTCTGGCTCCGCCCCTGCTAATTTGCTAAGGGTTTGAAACAAGATGCCCAGATGTAGGACTGTTAATGTGGCCTTCTGAGCTCATTTTCACTTATTGAACTTTTTGTTCTTGAGTTTTTCCAGTCAACGTATTGAACCTTAACTAGTTTTTGTGAGCTCTGTCAAGTTTTAGGTGCTCAAGTCAGTTTTGTCAATTTATGCTGTCATACTCTGGTGCACTTGAAAATGCCTTAGTAATTTAATTTTTCATTTAAAAGTGTACTAATGCAATTGAATGTTTTATAAGCTAAACCTAGTGTGATTGATGATTGGCTGCTTTATATGATTTGTTTAGATCCCATGAGAAAATTAATTTGTAGTATAGTTGGCCATATATATCTTTGTGAAAAAGACTTTTGTGTGCAACACTTGGTCATAGATTTAAACTATACATGTGTATATGCATGTATTATAGTTCTGATAGATTTTATTCTGATTTGAATATTCTTGTCATCTTAGGTATGTAATTTCTTTTATTCGTGTGTTAATCTTAATCGGCAGAGTACTGAGCAGACTCCGACAAAACAACATATGCAGCCAATCCCACATCAGGTCCAGTTTCATCCTCTACATCAGAGCCATCAAAATCATATTAATCACAATCCACAGGCAACACACTTTATGCACAGCCAACAGTGTGTGCCTGAACTTTCTCATAACCAGGACTCGTCAAGCATCCCCCCACACATTGCCTGCTTACAACCTCTTGGTCATGTTGGAGGACGTTTGCATGTACTGGTGGGTTTCATTTTTTACTTACCATTAATTATTACTGTTTGACAATTCTTTGATATGAGCTCTTTATTACAGTAGAATGCTCTTTTGTCTCAAGTCTTCCAATCCCAACTGGAACATGATTTCTTCTTCTATCATGTATTGTGTCTCTTACTTCATTGCCTCATAGTTAATAATTTTGAATTTATTAATGCAGGCAACTAGCCCAGCAAAATTTTGTGATGAATGTGGAGCTCCTTATTTGAGGGAGACCTCAAAGTTCTGTTCCGAATGTGGCACAAAGAGATTAGGAATCTGACATAAATTTCACATATATTTCTCTTGTAAGTTGTAACTTGTAATTGGTACGTGAAAAAAAAAAAAACAAACCGTTTACTAAATAATCATTATTTTGAGAGAGAGAGAGAGAGAGAGAGAGAGAGAGTGTGTGTGTGTGTGTGTGCAAAATAAACTTACAAACCCCGCAACTAGAACATGTAACATTCCAAAAACTGCCTCACTCCATCTCTATGTGTCGGAATTTAAACTACTTGGTGTCAATCTGAAAATTTACATCGAATCACTCAAGGACAGGGGCGTAGAGAGGGGAAGCCCATGCCACCCCAAGGTTACACCCACATAGGTGGGTCTATGGAAGACGTGATCTAAAAATATAATCATAATGCGTTTAAGAATGCATTCCCAATTAGGTTTCAACACCACCTGCAACCACTAATCATAGAAAAGTGATGATGACTTGAGCTGAATGGGTATTACCTAGGTATCGTGACGATCCATTGATGTCAAACTCTCCAACGAATCATCTCTTTTTAAAATAGCGGTGACACAAAGGTCCAAGCCAAACACTGTAGTTTAATATGACTATTAAAAATTTTAATGTAATTCAAACAGGGGCCTAGTCTTGTGGCCTATAGAAGGGGGCAAAAATTCAACAAGAAAATCGAACTGTCCAAAATTTCTTGATTAAAAGTCATCGAATGCTAAATTCAATAGTTTTTAAAGACTTGAATTCGTCGTCCATCCTAACTTTCCATCTACATCACTCGAAAGACCTCCGAACTTCAAATCAAATTTATTTTGTAGGAAAGTTGTGTTTGTGAGTCAATTCTTTTTGCATGTAACAAGTCATGTAATTTATTTATTTTTTTTAAAAAAAGTAATTGAAACTTTTGAATAATCTACACATAAAATTTAAATTTAAATTTAAATTAATAATTAATTTTAACCATATATTTTATGATATTCATAATTTTTCAATCATATAATTCATCAATTTTTATCAAAATTTCTTAAAAATTTAATTTTAATTTTTTACGTGTAAATGTTTCTTTTAATTGAATTGAGGCCGCGAGAGAGGACCCTTCTCATTCTCTTTCTAGGTTTCCTGTCTTCTCTCCCTTGTCTTTTTCTCTCTCTTAGGTTCTCTCTCCTCTCTCCAGTAGCGAGAACCTGAGCGAGCTGTTTTTGCCCACAAGTAAGCTCTCTCTCCTACATACGTAAAATATCATTTTCTCTCTCCCATCTTAAAATCTGAAGAATAGCCCGCCATTTGTTTTTAAATATATGATTGCATTTCATGTGAATTCTATTTATTTTTGTTATGACGATGTAAATATTATTGTTAAATTAATTTTTTCCTGAATCAGTTTTTCGTCAGATCCATGTTTAAATCGAAAAGATCGAGATTTTTATGGGATTCTTTGTTCCTTCCATTCTTACGGCAACATTTAATTTGACGATTTGCTCTTTTTTTTTTTTTGAGTTATTTATGTGAATCTACGTGTTTTCAGTTTGAAGATATATCTTTTTTATTCGCAACTTACAAGAGAAGCAATATTTATTTCCTTTTGCCATTTTCGGTGATTGTTTCAATCCAATTAGAATTTTCCTTTTTTTTTAATTGGTGCTAACGATTCTAAGGTTAGTGGGAATTTTGACCAGAATTGTAATTCCAATTATGGGTCCGGGAATTTCTGAAGATTTGCTTGAATCTGATGGTTTAGAATGTTGTTCCGTTCTCTTTAGTTTGATCTGTGTAACTTTTGATCATATTGTAAAATTGTGATTATTGGGCTGATCGTACACGCCACATTCATTTTGCAGTCTCTGGTAGGTGTAGTAAATAAGATTGAAATGTATTATGCTAAGGACCTAATGTGTGGTGTTGTTTGCCTTGATCTCTAGTTTTTATGGACGATGACGGATTGAACATGAAGAATTGGGGTTATTACGAACAGCCTCCTCTTAAAGAGCATCTTGGTCTTCAACTCATGTCATCTTTGGCAGAGAAGGACAAAAAACCTTTCCTATTTGGGCATGATAATCCTGTCATGGTTCCAGCAAATGGGGTTTTTCACCCTTGTGATTATGCCTTCGCTGAATCACCCGTGACACACTTGGATTATGTGAGAGACACTTGGATAAATCACAGGGACAAATTTTTACATATGTTTCCTGGGAACATGTATAATTCGGTTCTTGCAGAACCATCGGAAACTCATAATTCCATGATGTTAAACCAACCAGATAAAACCAGAGAAACTGAGGTGAGCATTGAGGAGTCAAGTGTTAAGAATGATTACGGCAGTGGCAAAAAAAGGTCAGTTGCTGTCACCACTAATCTCCCAAAGGCAAAGAAGTCTAAGAAAGGTCATTCTGTGAGGAAGGAAAATGGTAATTCCTCTGTTCACCGTGCAAAAACAGCAAAAAAGAACATGGATGTTGTAATAAATGGGATTGATATGGATATTTCTGGTATTGCAATTCCGGTTTGCTCTTGTACGGGTACTCCACAGCAGTGTTATCGATGGGGGTGTGGTGGTTGGCAGTCGGCTTGTTGCACCACAACTATATCAATGTATCCCTTACCAATGAGTACCAAAAGGCGTGGGGCAAGAATTGCTGGACGAAAGATGAGTCAGGGTGCTTTCAAGAAGGTTTTGGAAAAACTTGGAGCAGAGGGATATAACTTCACTAACCCAATTGATCTAAAGACTTACTGGGCAAAACATGGTACCAACAAGTTTGTGACTATCAGGTAGATTTACAGTATGGATACTGCAAATGGATTACTACTGCGTCTGGCATGTTTACATGTATATATTTTGCAGATTGACGGGTTTTTTGTTAACTTTACACAGTCCTGAATTTAAATAGTCACAATATATGTTCTAAAATTTTAGATTTCCAGGATTCTTAAGAACCCTTGTTTAGTTTGTTACAGGGGCTAGCAATATTTCTGGGTATCAAGAGTTGTATTATGAATGATTTGTTTCATTTAATTTAGTACTTGAATATCAAGGATTCAAGATACATTTCTTTTCCTCCTTTGTGAGTTATGACATTGCTGACGACGGTCACTAATTGACTGTTGCTCGACCTGCTTTTTATTTTAATGGTAATAGTGTTAACTGCTGTAATTTCCATATTTAATTAGTTTTCACCTTAGAGATGTGCTCTAATTTATATTGAACTAGTTCCCATTTTTGTTGCAAGTCGAACAAGAGTTTGTTAATGCTTTGTTTACTAAGTAATAACAGCTATTGAATTTGTTTGGCGTTTGCTTATTAGTAGAGGATTGAAAATGATTTGTGAATTTGGACATTCATTTTCTTCCTGTTGCATATATTTTGATATTAGGGAAGGTTCCTTCTAATTATGATGCTGGGGGTGGAAGTACCTCTGTAGTGTAATCTTCCTGTCCCTCACTCAAAAGTCTAGTAAATCTATCAAATTAATACTTAGTTTTTCAGGCTAGAATTTTAAGTTTATATATATATATATATGATGAGATGTCTTATGGCAATCGTCCTCATCTTCGATCGCTTGTTGGCTTGGTTCATTTTGAGGTCAAGATTTATGAGAAATGCCTCCAAACATATTTGATAGGAAAAAAAAAATAATAATTAGCAAGCTCTTTAGGTCTCTTATTCCAAGAGTTTTTTTTTTTTTTTTTGATATATATCATGATGATCATTGTCGTCTTGGCGAAGTAGTTGGCTTTGTTCATGTGATGTCAACCTCAAGATGTATTTCTCTGCACGACAAATGCGCTTAGCTAGCTCAATCCGGTTGCACTTATATCGGCTTATATGTACTCTTGGCCATCGTTACATAGGCTCCTTTCAGCTAAATGGAAATGCAGGACCATTTGTGATTGTGGCAGTCTTAAGTGACTGGGCAAATGCGGGTTCAATGTAGCTATTGAACGACAAGGATTATGTACTGTTTACTACAGACAATATATTAGTTCAGGTCAATTATTACTTTCCATTGAATAAATATTGAGGTTCTGAATTTGTATTTGAAATTCGTAAAACGTAGGAACTCTTTGTAGTAGTTTGACTGTTAATTCTTTGGGTGTTCTTGTGATCTTGTAAATTCAAGATGCTGAAATCATTGTTAAAGAAAGATTAATGCTTTTACTTGAATTGGATAGACCTTAAAAATGTGGGAGAATGAGTTGTGTAGTAAAGTGAATTGGACACTAAAAATAAGTTAAAATTTTGTTAGTTAAATTTTGATGTCTGGCAAGTGAGTTCTTTTGCTGATCTGGAACAGGGTTGGGTCGGTAATAATGACACAGTTTCTGCTGAATATTTGGCGGTTGTTTTCTGTGGTTGAAATGGAAGTTTGGGTAATCTCATTATATGAAAGGATAGGAACTCGGAGAAATTTCTGGGATCAAGGCGCAAACCAACCTGAATCAAGGAGGGATCCTGCGCTTATTTGACTACTAGATTTCTGGTAGGCAGTCATGGTAATTTATTGGCCTATTAGCACAAAATGTCCTTACGTTTGACTTTTAGTGTGCAAAAAATCTCTACGTTTCAATTTTTTGTATTTTCACCATTATTTTAATGTTTCATTGTGAAAAACGTCATTTCGTTCATTTGCTGTGAGTTTTATCATTAAATGCACACTTGAATTCACTTTTAATTTGAAACTCGAAGGGTAAAATGATTATGCCACTTCAAAAACCTCTTCTTCACCATAACATGCACAATTCATCTTCCATTTCTCTACTCTTGACGTCCCTTGCGCACCCATTTTCTTCATAGGAATTTGCTGTAGTTTATTAGTGTCTTAAGTTGTTGTGATTGATTACAGTCATTCTGTTGCTGTGAATGAAATGGATGCTTACACGATATATCAGGGAGAGTTTTCACAGAAATTTGAAACGCAAGGACGTTATGTGCAAAAATTGTCAAAACGTGAGAACGTTTTACATAATAACCTTTGAAACGATGGGATGTTTACGCAAAACATTTTCTAAAGTAGGGATGCTTTTCACCTGTCCAAATTGATGGCTTCAGTTTTTTATGCAGAATTCTGGTATTGAGATTTGTGATTTTGGATATCGGTTTGCTGCGAATAGCAGTGGGGGATGAGAGCATGCATGGAAGCCAAAATTCGATTTTCGAAAATGCATCAGTCATGATGATGATGAACAATGGACTTTTAAAAATGCATCAGCCATGATGTTGATGATGAACAATGGACTTTAACCGTTTTGTTTGATTATTATTATTATTTTTTTTAGAATAACCTATTTATGGTGGGAAGAAGAGATTTTTGAAGTAGCCCCATCATTTTACCATTTGAGTTTCAAATTAAAAGTGAGTCCAAGTGTGCATTTAATGGTAAAGCTCGCAATAGATGGATGGAATGGCGTTTTCCACAATGAAACGTTGAAATAATGATGAAAATGTAAAAATTGGAACGTATGAACGTTTTGCACACTAAAGGTCAAACGTAAGGACATTGTGTGCTAATAAGTTGTAGTTAGTGGAATGGTGTTTCCCTGCACTTGATATGCTGAAAATGAATGTGGATATGACTATTAAAGTAAGGTGATGGGTTTTATGCTGTGCGTGTTATCTGTAGGATGTTGAAGGGGCAATGGTTGCTGCATGTCGAAACAATTCAGGAGTGCCTTAAAACTACTGATTCACACACACTACTAGACTAGGATCTTGCAAAATTAGCGCTTTCTCAGTTTAATTACTCTGAATGGATTAGTTGTACTCCTAGTTGCATTATAGACTTTATTGCTGCTAAGGCTCAAGAATAAAATTGATCAAGTTGTTAAAAAAACATATCATGTGCTAAAAATATTTTATTATTTACCTCATGGAAAGGAATATAGTTTGTTTACCAGTGCGTCTAGCAATTTTTTTACTTGTACATGTACTCGAATATTAGTAAAGGTCGATACTCTAATCGGAGTTAATTTTACTTGAGCATGAGTCAGATTTGACTCGACCTACAAGTCAAGTTTGACATGAAACCTTTCAAATTATGTCAATAAATGGCTGCGTGCATTGCTTACTCCTAATGAGTAGTTGATGAACATAAAAAAGTGGATTCCAACAACTGACAACGGCCAACCTCGTTAGGTGGGGATTAGACAATGTTCTCATGAAGTTTTACAAAAGTTTCTCTCCTCCAAACCTTTGATCAAGAACATAATTTTCAAGAGTGAACTTACTTTGGCATATTTAAATCAAAACTATGAAATATTTTCTATATGAGATGTGTAAGGTGTGTCGAGTCAAACGGATAACCTGCTTATACTTATTGGGTGGCCTCGGGGACGTAGATAGGGTACAGTCCTGAACAGTCCAAACCCAGTTAATTTTATTATATGTAAAAAATAAATATTAATGATTTTCCCCATGTGTCATTCCAATTCCAATTAAAAAAAAAAAGTCGTCGTGTCCTAACACCGTCCTTGAATGATCTGGTGAAGAATGTCTTTATCGACATATCTTACATTTTTTTATCGTGCAAGTTTGATTAACTTGTGTAAAAAGGTGCAAAGGTTAACATATATTAAGCCATATCTAGATTGATTTCTAATTATTGATTAATGAAAAATAAAGATTCGACTAGATTATCTACATGCGAACTTATAATATTGAACATGGACCGCACTATGTATGAGTCGAGTTGCTCTAGAATAACTTTTAACCCTATCCTATATGGACCACCGCTAACAAAGTGAAAGTGTACTCCCATTTTCTACATATGAAAATTCATGTTCACTTTTCTCTGCATATTTCATCACTCAAAAACACTGGTGGGAACCCCCAACTTCGCCTTCGCCCTCGCCCTCTTCACGCTTCCAAATTTCTTGAAAAATACAAGAAAATTCGATAAAGCCCAACACAAGAAAATAATATAGGAAAAAGAGCCGGAATTTATTGAAAAAAAGGCAAGTCCATAAATAGATTTAAAGGTTACAAAATTGTGTGCATAAATGGATGTAGTAACTTTCGGCATCATCGTTGGAATAATAATCCTGTTTTTCTGCGCTGTTTGTATCATCACTATCGAGGGTACTTGTAAAAGGAATCGGAATTCTTCTTAACCCGTAAAACCTTTCTTAAATTTTCACAATCCAAACATTCCCTTGATCGAAATTTCTTTCAAGAAAATGGGGAGTGTCTCGAATAAACAGCAGCAGATCTATCATTGCTTCAGAATTGTATTCAGTGTTGTTGTGGTTGTGGGATTCACTGTGACGGCAGCCCACCAGTGTAACCACCACCATCATCATCACCCTGATCATGTGCATCAAGATAATGGTGATGTGGGTGTATTTAAAAAGCAGCAGCAGCTACTTCCGGAGGAACTTGCTGAAGAGGAGGATCTGAAGCTCTATGGTTATGGGTTGCACTTGCACCACAATCATGGCTATGAAACGGAGCATAAGCATGGTGATGTTGTGGAGCTTTCTGGTCTTGGTACATATCTCCCTCTTCCTAGCTTGATTTATTTTTTCAAAATTCAGCAGCATTGCAAATTTGTTATTTTTTTTTGATTTTGTTGAGTTAATTTTCGTTACTTTTGTTATGGGTTCGTTGCATTTCTATGTTTGGAGAATGTGGTTCCACAAAATTTTTATCTGGGTGACAGGAAACATTATATCCCAATTTCTGAGGCTTGTATATGCAGGATAACTAGAATTGGGATGTCCATTAGATTTAAATTTTTCGCCTTGGTCAGAAATGTGAATAATGAATGGGGGAGACTTTCTTTGTATGCTTACTCTCGTTTCTTAATTTGCAAATTGCATTACGTTTTGCGGCGTCTGATGAAGCAAAAATCTTGACCGCGTAGTATCTTACTTGGCAATAATTCTGGAGCATCAATACTGTTTTATGGTTCTTAATTCAACTTAATGGCACAAATTGAAATTCTCGGTCATTGCTGCATATGCATTATTTGTTCTCCATTTTTATCTGGTCTCTGCTATGGAGTTTAACTCTATAAATCAGACCTTTTTCTCAAGGGTCTACCACTAGATCTGTCTCCCAATTATACCCAAAAAATTGTTTTTGTGGCAAAACCATTAGTAATGGTTTGCGCATGGTTTCCTCTGTTAGCTCAATTAGTTGGCCCACTCTTCTTTCCAATTACCTTTTTCCCTTTTTTTTTCCGATAATTGGAGTGTAGGCTGTAGCTACTGAGTTCTTTCGGACTTTGAAATAATTGTCCTCTGTTTCTTGTGCATGAGATTTAGGGTATATTATAGCATAAAGTTATTCTATTCACATGCTTGATTAAGTTCTAGTACTCTCTATACAGTTATGCATGGATTCATTCGAGTGTACAATAAGGAGCGTATACATTGAGTAGACAAGGGGAATGTCCTAAGAGATCTAAGAGTAGAAATGGCTTGGTATTCCTGGCCTATTCAGAACAGTAAAATTAGGGGTTCTAAATCCTACTGAAGTACACAAAACTGAGATTGCTTATATTATTGAATTAGGGGATTTCACATATGAAAACAGTTTTCATCCTATTGGGACATTTTATTATCAAAGCATTTTATTATGTGGAAACTTACAGCAGAATAGTTCTTGAGAATTTCTATTTATCATCATTTGGGTGGTTATTTATTTATGCTACATAGGTGACAATTTGGGTCTGTAAGATTCTTGATTAAAGGGCATGAGAAAAGAGTTTCTCATGATGTTAAAGAGTTCAACATAATCTCCCATGGGTAAATGGTAATGTTCTAATTGATACAAAGAATAGAGGTGTGAGATAACTTGAAAGAAAGAGGAATAGTTCTAACAGAGGTTTAGAGATGTCCAAAAGGGTTTTGGATTGAGACGAGGATGGAAGAGTTCATATGTGCAAGAGGTTCTTGGATTATCCAAATTGATTTTGAAACTCTGGCAGAAGTATGTTATTCCCTCTTTCAGAGAGATCGAGATTGCTTCTGGTTTTTCTTTTAACGTGGGATCTTTATTAGATGAGGATTCCACTAACTAGAAGGGGTCCTAGGCTAGACTAAGACCAAAGTGAAGAAGTCTAGTTAGATTACATACAAATCAGATTTATGTTGTTCTTAAATCTGGTCTTTGTTGTATATGGATGAAACATGCATAAGAAGACCCAAAGCCTTTACCCTGAAATTTCTCATATCCAAATTTTATTGGTGCCACTAGCATATTCCCGTATGAGAGTTTGCTTACTAGAATTCATGGATTTAAGCGCTGAATGAATAAAGAAAAGATTTCGTGTCCCTGTAGCTGTCTCTGAGGATACTGTTAGAGGTCTCTCGATTGCTAGGCTGATTTTTGTGAGATACTCCATCACCAAAACAAGAAGTTTTATGGTAAAGTATCTGCCTCACCCCTGCCATGGGCCAAATGCTTGAAAGTGTTAATTTCTGAGGAGCTTTTTCCTGCTCGTTCATGCCTTCTGTTACATCAGGCC